TGTTTGGAAGTCAGCAGCCAAAACAGCGATGTAGGAGTATTGGACATCGCTGTTGGCATGACCGTTGCTTCCCAATTTTCAAAACACAAGCCTAGAACAGCGATGTCCAAGCCTAGGACAGCGCTGTCTGGGTGAATTTCAGCAGATCCAAATTTAATCAAATCCCACAAATTGTTCCAATCACCCCTTAAATGTTTTGATCCGTTGGAGCCTATTTTTCCACTATAAAATGGGGTGTTTGGGTCTGTTTTACATGAATCACATTACTTCACAACCCCTATTCCTTCATTGCATATTATTCATACATTATTCATAGCTTTTCGAGAGCCATTTTTGTGAAGCTCGTGTTGTGATCTTGAGCGTATTACTTTACTCATATTCACTCTTTTGAGAGAGCCTTGTTCTTGAGTGTTCTTAGTTTTTATAGACATTAAGGGAAGTTTGTTTCCCTTGGTTGTACGAAGGAAAGGTACTTTCCTTCGGGTTGAAGTCTTGGAGTGCGGTATCTCCGAGCAAGTGTTGTTGAGGCTCGTGGGACTCGAGTTCTCAGGTTGTAACGGTTTGTTAAGCACCCATAAGCTTAACGGAAGTAGTGTAGCTCGAGAGAGTCTCTCGGGAGGCTGGATTAGCCACAAGTTGTGGTGAACCAGGGTAAAATCGGTGTGCCTCTTACTCTTCTCTTTACTTCTCGTTTATTCATTTTTTATTCCTGCGATTTCTTGATCAAACGCTATTCACCCTCCCTCTAGCGTTGGTCTATTATTCTAACATACACATCTTTTTCTTGTTGATCAATTTATTCATTTTGAATTATGGTTCAATAATTCATAATCATAATTTAGTTCAAGATAGTCAAACAACATATCTACTCAATATTTCATCTTTACGGTTCTTTCGTTCAATTCCATACATTTTTATTTGTCATAATAAAATCATGATCGTATGTAGTCATAATTACTCGGGTCGTCCATTTGATCATCATAATCAATATTTATTATCAATGATATTCCATTATCCATTATTATAACCATTTATTCAGGATACTATCAAGGTTTGATTGTAATAGTCAAAATAACATTTATTAACTAATAGCGGCCTAGTTTCGAGTGTTAACACCCGTACTTACCGTCATGCATCACATAATGTTTTATATGTCAAAAAAATTATTTTTATTGTAAAAAATCATATTTATATTGTTCATAATTAATTGGTTCAAAAATAGGATTTTTGGAGTTCAAAAATAGCATTTTTTGTAGTTGACTATGCTCGGAACGGTCGTCCGTTTCAGGTGACGGTCGACCGTCGTTGCCTCCATTATACTGAAGCTACTGGTCCGGTAACGGTCGACCGTGGTGACGGTACGGTCGACCGTTGCTGCCTAACAGCAACAGTACTTCGTCTTCAACCTTAGATCAGATTTTCGAAAAATCATTTTTAGCCACCAAACTTCAATTAAACTATATAGAAATGTTCTCCAAGGTTCGTAGATCATTTTAGAGGCATCAATTCGGAGTTTTAACAACAAATTCAAGGTTTATGATTCTTGGTTCCTCAAACATGTCAAACACAAAACTCAACCAAACAACCGTTTATGAACGTAGAAACGATCTATATGAACCTTCTAATCACTAGATATATCTACGGGTAGGGATGGCAATTCAACCCGAACCCGAGCTTAACCGACCTGACCGACCACTAAAATATCCGAACCCAAACCGAGAATAACATAAACCGAACCCGACCCGAAATTGTTTACCCGAACCCGACATCTGGTCGGGTCGGGTGTGGGTTTATTATTTTACCCGACCCGACCCGAACCCGCACCCGACCCGACTCAAACCCGAATATTTTATAACATAAAAGCCTATCTATAGATATAATGAGCACTCCGTATAATCTCTTGACAAAGGGCTACTATATCAAGTATGCCTTTTATAATCATTTTTATACGTAGTAATTTCTTAATAAAAAAATGAGACACAAAAAAAATTAGATGTAATCTTTTTAAAATTATTGGGGTACGCCGAATTGATTATTAGTTAAAAGTCGGGTTTGGGTCGGGTTCGGGTTTCTGGTTGGAATGTCGGGTTCGGGTTTTGGCTTAAAAAGTCGGGTTTCGGGTCAGGTTCGGGTTTCGGTTTTTAAAGTCGGGTCGGGTTCGGGTATAGTACTATCCGATCCGAATCCGACTCGTTGCCATCCTTATCTACGGGCTTACCTCGAAGCTTAACGGAGGTTTTGGAAATTTTCCGGCAAAATTTCCGGCGAACACCACGGCTATCTCCGGCGATTCTGGAAGCGGCAATGTATTGCGGCTTGTTCTCCTTACTCCAAAGAACTTAATGGAAGAAAAATAAGAAGAGATGGTGCAAGATTGAAAGAATGAAGGTAGTCCATTTATAGGAAGGAGATGGGAGGCGCAGTCTCCACAGTGTCCTTGATTGGGACAAATTTTGGTTCCAGTCCGGGTACACTTTTTGGTCCAACTTTCTCCGAATTGAATTCCGTTTGCACCGTTGCAATCAGACAGTTAAACTCTATCCAACGATATAACTTTTATATTTATTTGTAATACTTTTTCGGACACCATATTTTTGGGTGTTTGACTTTGACAGAGTCAAAATTGGTTTAATTGACCTTTCTCATAAAAGGTTCTCTTATTTAATTCATATAAATTATTCTCTTGATTTATTTCAATACATCATTACAAAGTTCACATCATAATTAATTTATTCATTTATTCTTTATTTGGGTGTGTACTCAGGTTCCCAATCAGGACCACACAAATAGTCCACATATTGGATTTATCTCTATGAGACTTATCCAGATTTTGATATTGGATGTCAAAACACATTTCATTTTGGCCCAAAGCCCAACAACAATTTATTTTTAATCAAAACAAATTTGATTAAATTATTATTTATTCATTAATAATTCTAGGGTATATTTTGGGGCGTTACAAACCCTTTACTGGGAAGGTTTACTACCCAAAAAACTACAATCATCAAATGGCGCCATTGCCAGGGAGTGGCACGGCATTAGTTTAATTTCTTTTAATTAGATTGGGTGAAGATTGGTTAGAACGATCTTCTCACTTCTTTTCACCAACCACCCGTAATTATTATTATGGATAACTCCAGTGGTTATTACAGCCCACCTTGTTTCTACCAATCACCCAACCACCCTCTGTTGCAAACCCATCCACCTTACCACCCACATCAGAACCCATATGATGATGACTATCAAGTCAACAATGGGTCTGATTACTATCCATACCATGAGGAACCACCATATGACACCCCGTCTAGGAACTTTGGATATTCTCCGTACCAAGACTCATGGTGATCACGATGACTATAACCGCAATGGGCCTATATACGACGATCAACCTGATCCGCTCGTCGAAGAAATAATAAGATTAGAACAGAAAATCTTCTATTTCGACAAAGTTTTATTCGCTGAAGGCTCCTGGTACGAACCACCTCACTGCCGAGACTACACCCTGTTTGCTGAAGAACAAATTGAAGCAAACAATTTGGCAATTCGAGAATGAGCAAAACTTCTCGAATCAGTCCAGAAGGAAAAGGAGTTCAAAGGGAGATTGTGCGAAGGATCAGAATTGATGTAGAAAATGCTGGACGACTTCCAAAGAGAGAGACTAGAAGCCGAGGCTAAAGCTAATAAATTAGTCAATGATCTCTGTAAGGCTATTGAGCTTAAACGCTCCCTCCAATCTCAAGATCCACAATTGGAGGAAGTTAATGCTCAAAAAGGGGCTCTAGAACCTAAGACAAACCCTGAACCATTCAGCCATAAGGTCCCGGTTCTAGAAGATTCACCTAGTTCCGCACCATCACAGAAACCCGAGAGCATAACAACTCTCGCTAGGGATACTGTGGTGATGTTACCTGAATGTCCTCCTAGCCAGGTCTCAACCAGCATAGTCGTATATGATGTGGAACCAACTGAGGGACCTGACTCAGAACCACCTATGCTTATTCAAGAAAAAAAGGAGGAGGGAGTTTTGCCTATGGCAGTAAACGACCATCTCCTTAGTCGTGTTGAAGACACACCTCCAGAGGAACCTGTTCTGGAGGAAGTAGAGCCCATTACCTACCCCCAAGATTCCGACATCCAAGAGTCTGAGGAGGAATCTATAGATGAGGAAATTCTTTGCACTGATGAACCAATTCTGTCTATAGAAACCTGCGCAAATAATGATTCATCTGAAGATTCAGACCATGCTTTCTTTGATTCCTTACTTGATGGGTATGACTATGTCTGCCCGAAGGATGGTTGGAGTCAAGCAAGTTGGGACGAGCTTCTGAAGGGTGACCATGACGACTCTTCCATGGGGGTAAGTACGGTCATAATCATCAAACCACAAATGGATAGTCAGCCGATTGAAGACAAAGAAGAAATCAATCTCGCATTCGAGGCTAATGATGTGGATTTTCTGAGGAGACTTTCGCCACCACCAATCAATACAAAGTCTCCTCCATACATCCTGTTGCCACCAAGCCACAGGGATGAGTCAAGGATCCTGGACCTTGACTGAGCGAAAATTCAAATACGGTGGCATCAGAAGAGAGTCAAAAGGGCTAAACTTTATGACTCTCGGATTGGTAAGTCACAGAAAAAGTGGGTGAGCGTCAAGCTACGGGCGTTAAAGAAGCGCTTAACGGGAGGCAACCCGTCATTCATAAAACTATTTTAATAAGTTTTTGAGGTTATGCTTGCCGCACCAGTTTTGGGGGCAAGAGTTATTTTGTTTGTTTTCTTTGATTTTGCAAATGGGAGACCCGTAGGGAATACCTTGCAGAGGAAGTGAAGAAGAGGTCCTGCACGTGGGAAAAACACAGAGTTTCTACCATCGCTCATTGATCCAGCAATCTTGATTGAAGTCGGCTATTGAGAGGATGCTTGAACATGTTTTGGATGCTTGATTGATCTTTAATTTGGAATTTTATATCATGACTCTTAAAAACCATTTTTGAGAAAATTGTATGCATTATTTCATATTTACATGTTGTGGTTATCTATTATTTCAATCTTCATCATTGAATCTTTTAATTATTGAGTTAACTTAGGGATTGCATGTGGACATTTCAACCATTAACTCTAATTTCGAATCACTTTTTAACCGCGAGGGCGCGGTTCCGTTTAAGTGTGAGGAGGTAATAGTTCCTGGTTGAAATGATTTTTTTAGGAATTTTTTTCTCTATATATTTGTAGGAAAAGATTTTTTATAGAATAGTCATTAATTTTAATTGTCTGATTAATTAATCTTTAGTTATCACTCGTAAAAATTGGAAATTTTTAACATTTTTTGTCAAACTTCTATTTTTACTCTAACCTTTTGAGAATGTTTTCTAAAATGATTTGGGATAAATTCACAATTTACTAAGAGTTTTTTTTAGATCAATCAATTTTTAATTGCTTTATTGAAAATCTTTTTGCAAATACTCATCTATCTTTCGGGCTATGAGTATTTGTTGTTTCTTAAAGAAAGTGATTTTCAAAGTATAAGGGATGACATTTCAAAGCATACTTTGGTGAGACCGAGATTCTTGTTTTAGACAAAAAGCAATTGGTTCTATGTCAATTGATGAGGCTTGGTGAGTATGCCAAAAAGCACACGGTTCTATATTGCGTGATGAGGCCTATTGAGTGATTGATTAAAGTAAAAAAGCACACAGTTCTATGTCGTGTGATGAGACGTTCTAGAGTGAATATCCCAAAAGCTCGTGGTTCTATGTCACGAGATGAGGTTAGAAATTTTTCTCGTGTCAACATGACAATGTTATACCAAGAAAATTAAACCCTTACATTTTGAAAAATACTTTTGCAAGAACATATTTCCAATTTAGCCATTAAAGACTTTTTTGATCATTAAAGTACTCTTAGAAATGTAGTTTTCCCAAGAAAAGTTTGGAAAAATTAATTTTGGTTGTTTAGGTTGGTATAAAAATATTGGTTTGACAAAATTCTTTTACATTTCTAACAATATGGGTGAGAATCTAAAGGTTCATTTCTTCTTAACAAAAAAAGTTGATGACTATCTTATTTCTTCTTTCCTTCATAATATGTAGCTTAAACCTTTCCTCTGTGATTACTAATTTACCTTTATACTTGTAATTATTCAATCTGTTGCTTGAGGGCAAGCAATGTTTAAGTGTGCGGAATTTGATAAGTCCGTTTCGTTCTTATCATTACATCATATTCTCAACGCCTCATAAAATGTGATTTTAATGGATAAGACTCTCATTTTCGTTCTAAGAGTCATAAAATGGGATTCCACATGAAATCATCATAAATCATCCATTTTATGTTCAAATACTTGAGAAAAAGGGAATAAATCATCAAAGGATCAAGATTCGGGCTTGAACGAACTTCCAGGAGGTCAAAAATAGTGTTCGGGGCCAAAACGGAGCGAAATTGGGCCAAAATCACGAACCAACCGCGAAGACCACAAGGAGAAGGGCCTGAGGCGTCCAACTCGAATCGTAGAGATAGGCCATTCGCTCCACTAAGACGCCAAAACAGAAGAATGGAGGTCATCACCCATGTCTTCTTCCTCTCCTCTCCACTATATAAACTCCTCTCCACAATTCTTCACCATTCTTCTTACAAGAGATAGCTGAGACTACAGAGAGTGAAGTTGTGCTATCCAGAGAGCTTCCCGTCGCCAGAGCAAGCCACAATCCTCGCCAGAAGTTTCACCGGAAATTTTTTAAAACCTCCATTAAGCTTCGAGGTAAGCCCGTAGATATATCTAGTGACTAGAATTGTAACGCCCCAAAACATACCCTAGAATTATTAATGAATAATTATTCGATTAATCAAATTTGTTTTGATTAAAATAAAATGTAATTGGGCTTTGGGGCGAAATAATATATGTATTGATATCCAATAAACATAATTGGGATAAATCTCATAGAGATAAATCCAACCTGATTGTCTTATTGTGTGAGCTTGATTGGGAATCAGAGTATAGACTGTTGTACCCGAGCTCTGGGATTAAGCTTAAGTTTAAGAACAAAGCCCCTTAAACTACAGGGAAGAGGGATAGTCGATTATCCAGGTATGATAATCGACTAACATGTGCTTCAGTTTCTCGGGAGAATTTTTAGAAGTTTCAGGAGAGGTAGTTAGTCGATTGACCAGATGGTGACAGTCGACTATTTAAGGCTGCAGATTTTCTAGGGAAGCTGATAGTCGATTGTCTAAGGAAGACAGTCGACTGTTGAAGGCTGCAGGTGTTTTTATGAAGGTTTGCTACTCGATTGTCAACACTGTTAATCAACTGTTTGACGGGTCCTGGGAAAGAAAAGGAGTATTTTAGTTAAGGGGATCAAACCAAGTTGGTGTTAAGAGATATCACACACCCTTATCTTAACTTGGGGTTGAATCTAGCATTCAAATAAGATATCACACACTTATTTAAATAACTAGAACCTAAAACTCACACTCAAGAGAACCACTCTTAAGATATAGGATTAGGAATTTGGATGAAACACACACAAGTGAATCACTTTGATTAAAATGGAATACAATGTATGTTTACAATGCTCAGGGATGAGCTTATATAGAAAGATAAAAGGGAGACTACCAAGTCTCTTGTTCAAAAATTAAATGAAATAATGGCCACTTGTGGATGTCCCTTTGGTGGAGAGAAAATCACGGATGTGGGTACCTATAGGGCAGGATTCTTGGCCATTAATGGTGGGAAGGAATATGTGAATATTATTCATTATTTGATTGGTTTTTGGTGGGGTGTTCTTGGGCAGGAGAATGGTTTAATGGGGAAAATGGGCTGGGTATTTTGGAGGTATTTCCTGGGCAGGAAATGGGGGAACAAAGAGGGGTTGAAGGGTGTGGGTGTGGGTCAATGTGTCTTGGATTTTAGTGATTGTTTGCTCAGCCTAGTTGGGGAAGCAAAAGTGTGGTTATGGCATGGTTTTGGGTTGGGTGTTTTTTGGCCAGGGGTGAAGGAAAAAAAATGTAGTTTTGGGCTAGCTTTTGGATATTTTTGGGACTTGGTTTTGGGGTTAGGGAGACTTGGTTTTAGATGGGTGTTGGGCTCAGGGATATTATCGCTATGTTGTGGGTTTTATAGCTAATAAGTTCGGCCCAAAGGGATCGTAACACATAGCCATTATTCCATTAATTTGTTTAACGACTTTAGAGTCGTTGGTAGTCACCCGGGGTATATCATCCTCCCCTTCTTCAGAAGAGTTTTTCCTCAAACTCGGGAGTTCTTCAGGCTCAAAGTACGGGCTAATGTCCTTGACGTTGAATGTGGCCGACACTCCATAGTCTCCCGGAAGGTTGATTTTGAAAGCATTATCGTTCACCTTCTCCAATATCTCGAAAGGTCCATCAGCTCTTGGTAACAGCTTCGACTTGCGTTTTGTCGGAAAACGGTCTTTCCGGAGATGAATCCATACAAGATCGCCCGGTTGAAAGTGAGCGTCCTTCCGTCCTTTGTTGATGCGTGCACTTACTCTCTCGTTCATAGCTTCAATTCTGTCCCGGACCTTGTTGTGTAGGTCTTGAATCTCCTTAGATCTCTCGTCCACTTCCCAACTATACTTGGTATCCGTTATGATAGGATCAAGCTCTAGTGGGGTCAAGGGATTCGAACCATAGACAATGGTGAAGGGGGATAGTCCGGTAGTCTTATTCGGGGTTCGGTTGTAAGCAAACTCAGCGTGTGGTAGTAACTCCTCCCATTGCTTGATATGTTTCTTTATGAGGGTTCGGAGGAGAGTTCCAAGGGTGCGGTTGTTGACCTCGGTTTGTCCATCGGTTTTGGGGTGGCTAGACGTACTAAACTTGAGTCTAGTACCCAACTTTCTCCATAGAGTCATCCAAAAATGACTAAGGAATTTGGTGTCCCTATCCGATACCATGCTTCGAGGAACGCCATGGAGTTTGACTATCTCTCGGAAGTAGATATCTGCAACTTGTGAAGCATCATAAGTGGTAACACATGGCACGAAATGGGCCATTTTGAGAATCGGTCCACGACGACCATGATCGAATCTTTGCCTCGTTGTGTCCTTGGTAGCCCAGTGATGAAATCCAAGCTAGTATCTTCCCATGGTGCGTATGGAACGGGTAGCGGCATGTGCTTTCCTTGGGGCAGCGAGTGACTCTTTGCTAGGTGGCATGTGTTGCAACGCTTGATAAAATACTCTATGTCTCGCTCCATCTTCGGCCAAAAGTAGTGTTCTCTCATCATCATGTGAGTCTTATCGACCCCATAATGACCAGCTAGGCCTCCTCCATGGATCTCGTCAATAAGGGTCTCACGAACGCTACATCTCGGAATGCAAAGTTGGTTGCCACGGAAGAGATATCCGTCCTTTATGAGAAAGTGATAAGTCCGTTTCGTTCTTATCACTTACATCATATTCTAAATGCTATTGCATGTAAATAATATTTAATCATTTTATAAAATATGATTTCGGTGAATAAAGCTCTCATTTTCGTTCTAAGAGTCATAAAAAGGGGTTCCACTTGAAATCATCATAAATCATCCATTTTATGTTCAAATACTTGAGAAAAAGGATTAAATCATCAAAGGATCAAGGTTTGGACTTGAACGAGCGTCCGGGAGGCTAAAATCGACATTCGGGCCGAAAAGGAGCGAAATTGGGCCAAGATCTCGCACCAGCCGCGAAGCCCAACGGACCAAGGCCTCAAGGCGTCCAACTTGGACGCCTGAAA